ATGTGTATGTGTATGTGTATGTATATGTATGTGTGTATATATGTATGTGTGTATATATGTATGTGTGTATATATGTATGTGTGTATATATGTATGTGTATGTGTATATGTGTGTGTGTGTATGTATATGTATGTGTGTATATATATATGTATGTATGTGTGTATATATATATGTATATATATGTATATATGTGTGTATATATATATATGTATATATGTGTGTATATATGTATGTATGTACGTGTATGTATGTATGTATATATGTGTATGTATGTATGTATGTGTATATACTGTATATATGTATACTCGTTTCTGTAACGTTTATTGCGATGCTTCCTCGAGTAGGATTTCATTTAACAAAAATGAATAAGAAGTAATTTTAGAGGTGTTCCATGGTAATACCATGTTGTTGTTGTTTTTAAACCATGTTTACCAGAGTACTTCTTTGCAAGGGTTGTTAGTAGGAGAGATGATCTTTATGTACTATTATCGTTCTCATCATCATGAAATCTGGTTTCTTAGCCCCTGGAGGATAGTGGACGACTGTGGGGGCGCCTTCACCATGGGGGCCATAGGTGGTGGGATCTTTCAGGCCGTCAAAGGCTTTAGAAACTCTCCTTCTGTGAGTGATTCTTCCAGCTGCTGATACAGTGATGCTGTTTTGTTTTAAGTTAACTGCATTTGGTACTTCTTGGCTCCAATATGATGTCGTTGTTTTTTGTTTTTCTTCTCTTCAGGGAATGAATCACAGAATGAGGGGTAGCTTGACAGCCATAAGGACCAGAGCTCCACAACTAGGAGGTAATGTAAAGTTCAACGGTTATCTATCACATGATTGCGACATGGATGCAGAGTGATACACTCTGGAAAAACTGAAAAGTTTGGTGTCAGTAAGATATTTTTTAGTGGTTTTGAAAGCCAAACGGAATTATTTGTACAAAAATACAGTAAAAATAGTAATACTGTGAAATATTATTACAATTTTAAAATATATATAATTTTAGTTGGATATTTTCAGCAGCCATTAGTTTAGTCTTTTAGTGTCACATGATCCCTCAGAAATCATTCTAATATGCTGATTTGGTGCTAGTGTTGGAAACAGTTGCGCTGCTTAATATTTTTGTAGAAACTGTGATACATTTTTTTCAGAAATCTTTGATGAATGGAGATGCGTTTATTTATTTGAAAGCTTTATTTATCTTTGTAACATTATAACATATTAAATGTATTTACTCAAATTTTTTTAAGTTCATGCGTCCTTGCTGTATAAAAATTAATTTCTTAAAAAGAATCTTGCTGACCCCAAACTTTTGAAAAGTTTTATTTTTTTTTATTTTTTTTTACATTGTCTGTCTGCATCACACATCTTGGCTTTACTTTAAAAGATATTACAAAATACAAATGTTTGTCAAATGTTCATGATTATTAGGAAGCTTTGCTGTGTGGGGTGGCCTCTTCTCCATGATTGATTGTGGGCTGGTCAAGGTGAGGGGCAAAGAAGACCCCTGGAACTTTTTTTTACCTTAAACCGCATAAACACATTGCATTACACCAAATACACAACATTGTTATTTTTAGCAACGTCATATGACCCCTTTAACAGTTCATTCTTCTTTTTTTTTCTCTCTTAAAAAAGGATAACCTGTGTTTATGCATGTGGTGTTAATCTTTTGTCTCATCACAGATGGGCCAGTGGCCATGGTTGGCTCTGCTGCAATGGGAGGTATACTGCTTGCATTAATAGAAGGTGCGGGAATTCTGCTCACGAGGTTCGCCTCAGCACAATTCCCAACTGGTAAGTGTGCAAAGTCATCCTCTGAAATGGAGTAACTTTTACAAATGCAAATAGTCATAAGTAATATTTAAATCAAAACAAAGATACCAACATCATCTTTTTTCTACAGGCCCACAGTTTGCAGAAGAACCCGCTCCCATGCCTGCTTCATCATTTGGAGACTATAGACAGTTCCAATGAGAAGCCCTTTAAAACTCAAGGCCTTTTCTTATTCCATGAACTCATCTAAGACACTGAAGTTACAGTGTGGATCTCATTCATTAACAGAGCATGCCACCAACCAGGAATGACTGTGACAAAGGGAATATGAAGGGCAAACACTATCGTTCCTGTCCTCGTGTTTGTCTTTAGTATGCCTTTTGCTATTCTCAGCTTTGTCATTGGCCTATGGGTCACCCTATTTAAGTCAAAACTCAGTTCTATGTTTTCATCCACATATTCCGTTTTTGTTTTCTGTGAACTAATTTTTTTGCTAACACAGCTGGAAATGTTTGCTGAAGCAATAGGTGTACTATTTAAGTCATGCTAGGTTATTCGAGTTGAGCCCCAATCAATTGGCTATATAAAGTGTTTGTTGCATGTGTGTGTGAATGTGTTAATACCTGTGTGTGTGTGTGCGCGCAGCCGCTGGCATAAGAGTTTAGTACATGCCTGACTGCCTGTGCACTGATTGTTTGCCTTAATGTAAACTTTCTCATGGGCCTCAACAAGGTCGAATTTACCAGTACTTATTGGAGATTTTTATTGACTGTTCCATGGCAAACCTCCTCTTGCAGAATATATTCCTTCACAGTTTACTTTTTGAAGTAGCTATTTATTTTATAGAAGTAAAACTTCCTTGTTTCAAGATGTTATGCTGTATTGTACTTTAAATATTTCTCTACAGTGAATGTTAGGATCACAAAGGATGCATCAGGAAAAAAAGGTTTATGAATGGACAGAATTAATAGTCTCTTCTGGTGGATATATGAGCCAAATTAGGCTGAGAAACATCATAAATAAACTATAGTTATTACTACTATGGTGGTCTCTGTCTGAAAATCATGAGATGTTATTCACATTGAATATGGTAATTGCTTGTCTATAGTAGTTATATTATGCAGACAGGATTAGCATAATCTCCATTAAAATAAAAAAGGTAGTAGTATTGTCCACTAGAGGGAGGTATAGATTTAAAGTGATGCACAGAAATTAAGTTGAAACATGAAATAGCCTATATATAGAGATGGAAAGAAAAATGTGTAACACATCAATTACATTAGTTGTAATGAGAAATGCCATTTTTATTGAGCTTTTGAGAATAAAAAAAAAGAACGCAACTGCAAAAATACCTACATTTTTTTTAAATGCCCTTACGTCAGAAAAATATTTATACATCGAGGACAGCTTGTATATTTTAGGAAAGAAAAATGTGTAACACATCAATTACATTAGTTGTAATGAGAAATGCCATTTTTATTGAGCTTTTGAGAATAAAAAAAAAGAACGCAACTGCAAAAATACCTACATTTTTTTAAATGCCCTTACGTCAGAAAAATATTTATACATCGAGGACAGCTTGTATATTTTCTTTTTAAACATATATTTAAAACTGCATTTGGATTTAGCTATGAACAGTAAATTGCATGATTATATGGTTCTAGAGAACATTTGATTGGATAAATCATTAATTTTGGGGAGAATTTTAATCATTTAAACTACTGAAAACTACTTTGTCAATGTTTACAAGTTCACCAGGGGCCTGTTTCATAAAACAAGTTTACCAAATAAGCCAAGTTTATTTCATTTAGTCTGACTTATTGTCAGTTGATCTGGTTCAAAATATGTCAGACTAACTGAAATAAGCCTGGCTTATTTGGTAAACTTGTTTTATGGAACAGGCCCCAGCAGATTGTTTCACCACATTGACCAAAAGCCACAAAACAACACTATCCCGTTTTAATATACACTATATTGACAAACGTATTGGGACACCCTCTTCTAATGAACAGGTTTGACCACTTTAGCAATTTCCATGAGTACAAATCAACTGAAATTAAATGAGCAAATGTAGATGTTCATTACGCAAGACTTAGCAATAATTTTTATTCCGCCTAGAGGCCCAGCTTTCTTATGCGATGATTAGACACAATCGGGTTTTGCGACAACCGATTGAAACTGATGTGATTGACAGTGCACCTAAAAACACCGTTCTACACAGCGTAGGCCTACGTGGGAACGGACTCACAGTTAAGTGAATGGCTGTTGTGGCTTGTAAAAGGCTTTTAATTTGATTAGTTGACTAGTTTGTATGGGAAAAAAATTGTTTGGAGTTCTGGAATATTCTATGTTTTTTGTTGTTCGTCAATGCTAATGATAGGCGTTGCTCTTTTACACTAGGTGAAAAATATTGATTTGGAGTGGTGGGGGTTACTTCTATGAATTAGAATAATTATTAACATAAGGAAACTATGTTGTTAAATTACGAAAGTCACAAATGTGTTGAACTGTTATTGATGAGAGAAAATTCAGTGTGTTTAAATCATTTTCATTCTCTTTGCATGTTGCTTGACAAAAAGCATTCTAGCAGACAAATGTGTTCCTTGTGTTTTCATTGGTTTTGTTGCATTTCATGTCATTCCGTTTTTTGCTTCTTTCTTTTTAGCCTTGCTGTTTTATGAGAAAGTAATTTTCTTTGACCTTTTGTCTCGGCATTCACAGGTCCAAGTGGTTTGGCTTGACTTCTGATTTTTGCTCCAATCCTTCTCATTCAGTAAAAGCATGTCTCCTATAAAAAGCCCCGGCGCTTTCCCTCACACTGCCTCATCCTGCTTGCATGCAAGTTTGTTTGGAGACAGCAGCATCAGAAGGAAGGTCAGCTTGTGGTGCAAACAACTCATTAATAATTTAAGGCAGCAAACATGACTGGTTGCTAATCTACATAGCTCCTAAAAAGTGCTGCGATTATTAATTCAGGCCTTTTGAAGGCACTGTGGGAGCGTAGCATTCTTGATTGTATACAAGAGCAATGAACAAGCTCTGGCCAGGCACTCAAGATGTTTGGTGAAAGACTCCAAAACTTTCTGTCTTGCTGGAGATGTGGTTTGTCTGAATGAGGAAGAGAGAGCGCATGTGGCATTTTAATGTATAGGTAAATGCTTACAGAATGATGTGTAGATGCTAATGCAACAATCTCAGACCTATTTGTCCATCTATGAGCACCATAGAGTAACAAGCGATCAAAGAGACTTTTAATTAGATGCTTTTCTCACTTGAGGCCCTATGCTTTACCACCAGAGGCACACTAACTGCTGTTATTTACTGAGCTGCATGGTATCAATGTTTGAAACTGACTGAAGCTAGATATAGAAGCAATTTATAAATGAGAAGACCTTTTCTTTTAAATTATTTAAAATTGTGTACATAATATATATATATATATATATATATATATATATATATTAGTACTGTGTAAATGTATTATTTAATAATTTCAAGTCATGTTTTCCAAAAATTATATAACAAAGTAAATGTTACAGAACAATTGAATTAATTCATTCATTTTTTCCCCCATAAATTTAAGTAACAGGGCAACATCTCAGCTGGGTTATAATTTATTGATTAGAAAAGTATGGCCTGGTTTAGACTAAGCCAGGATTAGGCCATAGTTCAATTAGGACATTTAAGTAATTTTTTTATAAATGTGCCTTACAAAAAACATTACTGGTGTCCCTCTTGGCACAAAACAAAGGCATTGATATATTTTAAGATCAATCAGTACAAGTTTCTTTCAGTTGAAACAGCTCAGACTTACATTTTAGTCTGGGACTATAGGCTTAAGCCTTGTCTGTGAAAACGGGGGGTAAATATACTGCTATATATGTGAATGATCAAACTTTCTTGGAATTCTGCTTGTGATTAATTGAGGTTTACCTGAGATAATTGAATTCAGCTGATTGTCTTTAATTGTTGACCTACTTAAAAAGGGTGAAAGTTGTTTGTTACGTGAGCACTGAAGATAGCAATGTGCTGAAATGTTTGCTTGCTTGCTTGCGTGTGTCCATCTGTTTTAATGCACATGCACTTTGCACAATGCAATTTATAAAAAGTAAAAAGATGTTTTTGTAGAATTTTTAGTCTTGAGTGGATCAGTGTGCGGTTAGCCACCCTCTTGC